CGCCATTCCCGTTCATCTATGTAGTTGCCTGTTGTACGATTCTACATTATCTGTATGATTCATCTCCTCTAAGTGTGAGTCATCCTTCTTCTCCTTTGCTTATCCTGAAAAATATAATTATATCTGGAAGGACCATTACGGAGCTGTGATACATAGGAATTGAAGGAGCAGTTACCTACGAATGCAAGCATAACTTTATTGATATGTGAAAAGTTACAATGTGTATGAAAAACTGCAATAAGAAGATTACAATAAAACATGGCAATTACAACAAATATCACTATTAGAGTAACTAAGCTACTAAATGCTCTCGATTTGACACAAAAAGAGGTTATTTGGAATTTAACTAATTCCACCAAATCCACTCAGCTAGAAAACTTGTTCAATCTGCCCATTAAATCTGGCACTGAGTTTTATTTGTCTGTCCGCCAGTGGTATTGAACTTCCATTTTGCAGACTACCTTGCGGGTGAAATGGCCCTCTTGGGAGACTTGACTGACCATCAGTGTTACAGTTTGGTTGATTTGATCTAGAGGTGGGTGAGTTGTAGTTCTGAAGCCCCTTATTTGGTGGGAAAGAAAGGCTCAAGAAATTTGCCTGTGCTATCTAGTTCATAGGATTTTGTTTCTAAAGACAGAAATCAATGCTTGTGGTGTCTCACATCTTTAGAAGAATGTCAAATTTAATAGGAGATCTTTAAGAGTGGCTCACTTTAGAAGACTCGTAGCTTTTGGCATTTCCTTCCTCCGTAGAACCTAGTAAAGCTGATGAGACATGCTAAACAATTCTCCTGTGGAAGTAAAAGATGGAAAGAAGATTAAGTTTTGGGAAGACGCTGGTGGACACTAAACCATTAAGCTTCTCTGACCACTATGCAATGGTGGAGCCTAAGCTAAAGACAGTTAATAGACTTTGGGATGGGATTTCGTGAAGTTGGAATATAGTTACTCGAAGGTAGTGAATTTGGCGAACTTAATGACTTGAAGGTGTTGGAATTAAACAGACAGGTGGCGGATAGGGTGAGAGATTATATATTTTTAAGGTTGGGAGATGTCTCATCTTCTCCCTGCTATAAAAATTGTTTCTCATATAGAGGGGTAACATATCTGTTTATCAAAAGCAAATCACATTGATGGGCTTAAATTTGACCTGCAAACTGGGATTATACTATTATTGGTTGAATGTTCTGCCCAATGATATATACATGTTGGCTGAGTTAAGGATCTGATAGACTTACTTGCTGAAGGTTGTTTCCCTCAGGTTCTGCTTCAAGGTTCATATTGGACATGAAGGTCATGAAATTTGAACCTGCAGTGGTGCGAAGAGTGGGTTTTGAAATGCTACTCACAACTGGAGGAAGAGAGGAGTTCACGTTTTTTCCCCCAAGTGTTGCCATCTTTATGATCGTGTAGGGAAACCAAGAGCCAGGCATGGCGAGAGGTGTGGTGTACAAAGGATACCTGCCATATTGGAGCTACGCATCCAAGCTGGTGTTGATCTTGAAAAAGTACCCCTCTAAAAGACGAACAAAACCTGTATATAGTATTGAAGGGAGAATTGCAGAATTTGAGTTGGTGAAGAAAAGAACGAGGTAGGGACATGCCATTTCACCAATAGTAGTGATAATTTTGGAAAGTCTGATTTCGCGATATATCTCAAAGAAATGAGTAGGTGTTCATTCTTATGGAATATTATGGATCGGCAGAATGAAGAAGAGGCTAAGGTCTTGGGCATCTTCCTTCGAGAATGGGAATCTCAAGGACAGTGTCGGGCGGCATAGGTGTGCCGGCATTGTGCCTCGTCCCATGGGCTAGAGGTTGCACATAGGGGCCGTTATGCGATACGGTATGCTCGAAAGACAAGGCACGACCGCTGGAGTCGTTGTGCCTCGATTATGTCCGGATGGATGGATGTTCGAAAGGTCCCGATCATAAATACAAGTCCATGGGTCGATTCTCGGTAAGTGTGCTCAAGTGTCAGCGAAGCCCGATGACATCTTGATGCTCGGGGTGGCATCCTACAGTACCGGTGGGCGCTCGGGAAGTGAGAAAAAGCTAGTCTTGGCCTGGTAAGCGGCAAGACTCATCTCGGTTGTCAAGTGTAGTCATTCCTTGTCCGGATCTCGGCAGGAATCATCCCGGCAGTACCCGGTAAGGCCGTTTAGCCCGTTATTGACTAGTTTCTCGGCAGGAA